TTTGATAAAAATTAATGAAAAAAAGTATAATTAATATACTCTTAACCTGTTTTCTTTGATAAACCTATCACACTTTCTAGTTTTGCAAAAGCATTAAATGTCTGTTCCTATTTAAACCTTGTTAAATGCCTTTGATGAATTTTTTCTTTTTTAAAGGAGGAAGGGGGAAAAAATGAAACTTAGAGGGCTTATGATTATATTTTTAAACATTTTGTTGAAATTTCTCTTCTATTACGCAACAACAACTAAAAATGCACTGAGTACTTTTTGACATGCTAATTTTATGTTTTCTACACTTTAACCACTCAAATTGTTAAATCACTTGAAATGTTAAAGGAAGATAAAAACAAAATCGACCTTTCCTAACTAATATTATACCAAAACGCTTGTGAAGTGTTTGCTATAGTGCCGCAAAGAATCCTCACTAGCAGAGAGAAGTCATTGATGGGAAGAAACCCATATTGTCATCTAGTTTTACCACTGATAGGAGATAAAAAAAAAATGGAAGGAAAAGAGAAGAAGACGGGAAGAAGGAGAGGCTAAGCTTGTAATTTCATAATTATTAAAAAAAATGTTAATTATATAATGACAACAATATAATTAAGCAAGCTATAAGAACAATTGTGTAATTAAGATGTCCTTTTATTGTCTTCCAAATATAGTGGTTTTATTGTAAATAACTACTCCTCTTACGTACTTGTTCATATGACTAATATATTCTACACATAATTTTATGTGATACTTATATATAAAGTATGATAAATAATTAAAATGTTTTTTTCAATACATAATATTGATTTGTTAAGTAATTTTATTTAATAAAAAATTTTAATTGTCATTCTTATTTGGTATAAAATCATTAACTAAAGCAACATGGTAAAAGTTAAAGCAAACAAATAATTAGGAACGGAGGGATGAAGTAAGGGTATATATGTAATTTTCAGTTGAAATTAATTTGCCACTTCAATAAAAAGTCTCCACATTAGTCTGGGTTCTAACCATATTAGGGGTGGATTTGCTTTTATATAGTTTTACTTCGGTCTTCTTTGTCAGGACAATTTTTTTGTTTATGCACGTCAGACCATATTAGGGGTGGATTAATTTGCTTTTGTATAGTTTTATTTCGGTCTTCTTTGTCAGGACAATTTTTTTGTTTATGCACGTCAGCACAAATTATTAAGGAGGGCTTATCCTAGGGTGTGGTTATATTGCCACCGTGAAGATTCTTAAGGCCACCAAAATTTTAAGTTTGTTTCTTAAAAAGTATTTAAAATATTATTTATTGATTGATTTTAACTTGTTAATTAATAAATATTAATTATTTTATCAATTATTAATTAATAGTTACAATTATTAGTAATTTTTATTAGTCAAATTAAATAAAATCAATATTTTTAAAAACAACATTTACCAGCTTTGGTGGCCATAACCTTACCCGCTTATTTGCATGCTTTCCAACCCAATAAAGTTATTTTTATGATATAACAAGAGCTTATGGGTGTATGGGTGTGTTTGGTTTACTTTCTTGAGAAATGTCCCCCACTAGGATTTTATAAGGGTGTTTTGGCACTTATACATCTTAAAACTATAATAAATAAAGGGCAGAAGTGGCATTTTAGTCTTGATTTTCGCTAACACAATTCCTAATCCATAAATTTTTTTTCCACCTTTAATTAGGCGAAAAAGTTTTCTATAACCTTTTCATATGGGACCCATTTAACAACTTTCCCAACTAATTTTTCCTATGTCAATTTTTTACCAAACATAATAAAGTTAACCATGCAACAAAATTTTAATAAGACTTTATTATAAAATTTAATAACTTTTTGTATAATATTTTCTAACTTTTCGTATAATACTTTAACTAATTACTTTTCCAAAAAGACCTTTTATGGAAAAATTGTTCTTTAACCAAACACACTCTAATAGTATGTTTGAGTTGAGAGAAATGAAAAAAAGGGGAAAAAATTTTCTTATTTGGTTATTAGAAAAAATTGGAGGGGAGGGGAGAGAAAAATTCCCTTTATTTTTTTCTTAACTTGCTCATTTATTTAATTAGGGGGAAGGGAGGCGAGGAAAGGGGAATGAGAGATAAAATTTCTTTTCCCTTCTTTTCTCTCTCCTCCATTCCCTTCAACTCAAATATAAAGTAAAGGCCAATAGCTAACTGAAGCAAACAATGGTTAACGTAAGAACTTCATTGATCACTTTTTCATATGTTCAAAATATTATTTGCTACAAGTAAAGTCTTTGGCTAGTTCTTAAAAGTCTTATTTGAAATTAATAATTTGTTTGATTTGAGAGAAAAAAAGTGCAGGAGAGGCGAGAGGTTTCTTTAATTTTGTTTTAATTTCCCCTACATTTCACTCGTATCTCTTTCCTTCCTAAGGGGGGCGTCTCCTCCAAAGCACGCACTTCACTTTATCTCCTACCAACCCCAGCCTGGATCACGATATCTTCATCTTCTTCATCATTAATGCGCCCCTCATGCTCAACTAGCGCCCTGGGTTCTACTCTCCTTTATGTTCAGTGTTTTTTTTTTTTTTTTAATGAGATTGTCGTTCAGTTTTATAAATTATAATAATAACATATGTATTTCCGAAAGACTAAAGAATGGGGAGTGAAAGGGAAGGGAGTAAAGGCATTATAAATTTTAAATTTCAAACTATAGTACTAATTAGAATAAGAGTTCTAGTAAGAATTTTAGTAGTTTAATAATATAAAGATTTAAGGTCACTAAAAATTCCTTGACTTTGCAAAAAGAGTCATAATCATTCTTCTGCTTTAAAACAAGTCAAAAGTATCCCTCAACTTATTAGAAAGGGCCAAACATCATCCCTCGTCATAATACCGTCAATACACCTATTAAAATTTTTCCAAATTGTAATGGTAAAATGGCATCAGCTTGTACCTTAACTTTTAGTTTCTGTGCATTTTGATCTTTAAACTTCAAATTTATTCAATTCAGTCCCAATTTCAACTTTTTTAATTACAATTTAGTTCCTAAACTTTTAAAAGAGATGCACTTAAATCTCAAATTTTGCATTTCACTCTTATTTTGCAAAAATAATAAAAATTATATAACTTTTAATAACCTCACATTCAATTGTTTTACTTCTCAAAATATCAATAAAATCAAGTATGAAATAATAAACTAAAATATATACAAGGGAACCCTATTTCACAATCCAAAGTGCACCCAACTATAAAAGATGGACCAACAAATGGGGTTCCCTTGTCTTACAATCTAGTCTACGCTTGACTAGAAAACATGGACCATTAAATAGGGGAAGGCCCTAATATTGGGGGGGTTTAAGGTTAGTATTGTGTAGTCTAATATGGTTTGAAATAGTATGGATTACATAACACTTTTTTTATATATTAAACTCATATCATTAAAGTATAAAATCAAAATTTTGATATTCGCTTGTCCTTAAAATATCTTTGATACCCAATTTGAAATTCTATAAAGTGCTATAACTAAAGTGATGAAGCTGTAGATGATGTAGATATAACTTATGGATGTGGTGTAAGGGTTTGTCTAACCTGTATCTTAAGGACATAAGATAAGGGTGTATGAAATACATATTTTCATCATAAATTTATATTTAAAAAATAAAAATCAATATTTAATTTATCAATTGTTCAATTAAATTTACTTAACACTAAAATTAATATCAATTTTTACCTTTTTTTAAGGGTATAGGTTAGAAAAATTTGTGGTATAAATATGTTTGCATGAACATCATGGACTAATGATAACATTGAATAATGTTTTTATGGTTATGAGTGTATAATAATAATACTAATAATAAAAGAAGGCAAGCATTTCTTATTTATCTTTTTTTTTAATCATAAAGTTGTTTCTTTTTTTTTTCTGATATGAGTTATATATGCAACTAACTAAATATTATTTCTTTATTTTTAAGGATTTTAAACTGGGCATTAAAGATGTGATCTTATATATTTTAGTTTATTTTTTAGCCTTAATTTTATTAATGTTTTGCATGAGTTGAAAGTCATTTTATTAGATTTTACATATTTTTATTATTTCTCTAAACAATATTGGAATGCATGAAATTAGAAATTTTGGAAGTTAAGTGAAACATTTTCAAAAGTTTAGGACTAAATTGCAAGATGAAAAGTTAAAATTACCAACCAAAATAAATAAACTGAAGTTTGAGGATCAAATTGCACAAAAACTGAAAGATGAGGGACCAATGTTGTTATTTTACCATTAAAATTCTAAGGATTTTACGGATGAATCGCCGGTGTTATAATGTTAGTGAAAAAGGGACGATGCTTGGCTCTTTCATCAAAATTCAAGGATATTTATGACTTGTTTTAAAGTAAAACGATGATAATGACTCCTTTTGCAAAGTCGGAGGATTTTTAGTAGCATTAATCCTAATAAAGATAAACATGTAGCTTCTTTTATTATTGAATAATAGAATATTTGGAAATTTGAAGCAATAGCTTTCTCTTGAGCTTGTGTTATGTAATTTTAATTGTGTGAAGCAATTAGTCTTAAATGTGATGTTTAAGGGTTTATTCTTTTTAGGTGTGATGTTTAAAGTAATCTAGGTGTGACTCCTCATATTTTTCTTTTCTTTTTTTTTTTTGTTATTTTCTATTTTTTCCCCTCTTCTAAACTATATTCTTAATCTCTTTCACTATTCATGTGCACTGTTTACAGCATAAATTTTTTGCTAAACAGCCACTAAATCTCCAAGTCCATCACACCGCCTAACCTGTCCTGCGTCAGGGATAGATCAGATGGGAGACTTTGGTTTGTAAGATAAATAAAAAATAATTGATATATGTTAATTATTTTGAAACTTTTCAAAATGAAGGGAAGTTAGCAGTTAACAAACTGATTCGCGGAGAGACAAATAAATCTATTGACAATAGACGTTTCTAGTTAATAAACTACCTGGTCAAGAGATAAGTTTGTCTGTTCACAGATTTGCCCAAAATCAAAAGTCTTTTCCTTTTCCTATATAAACACATCTTATTTGTTGTAGAATGAATCATTCATGTTGATCTCTTTGCTCTCCTGTGTCTCATTCATCTCAAATCAAATTCACAATTTTACGGAGAAGTTTCGAGGAGAAGTTTTCAGAATCTGCTGGCTAAGAAAAAGTAAAACTACTGAAATAGAGTAGACGTTATTGCTTACCAAGTAACAATATAAAAACTGGAAACCATTTGAGTAATTGAATCAGGTCGGGTAGTGGCACTGCAACAAATTGAGTTATATCAAGCATTTAGAAAGAAAGACCTTCATAACTGCAATCCTTGATTGCCTTTTTATGATATATAACCAAAAAAATTGCCCTTTTATTCGGAACAAAAAATGAACTTAATTAAAACGATGAACATACACATCCATATATAATGAAGTGAAAAAGAATTATAAAGTATAAAAGTTGAGTGGAAGTAATTGCTTACCACGTAACCAAAATAAAGGCACTCCAATCAATACGCATAGTAGATCTAGTTTGAGGAGTGGAACTGCAATAATTGAGTTATGCATTTGGAAGAAAAAATGAATTTCGTAACTTAAATACTAATCCATTGTCTTTCTATGATTTAAAGCAAAAGATTTCTTTTTTTTTTTTAATATCAAAAGTTATCTTCCCTTACGTTGACTTAATTAAGGTTTTTAAGTAGTTAGTCAATGCAAATTTGATTAAGTTTAATTTCTTATTGCTTATAAAAAAATAAAAAAATGAACTTAATCCTCATTATAAAACAAAAGCAAGAACAACTACATCTGTTGATTTTAATTAGATCATATTTTTGCTTAATTCTTGTACTTAAACAGCAAAGCATTGCTCTGAATTTCGTGATAAAAGGATTTCATGTACAGTCAATAAGAGGATTGGATGTTAATAAAAAAAATTTTTTTTTTCAATTTTATAAAAATTACAAATAAGAATCAAGATATAGCATAAAAACAAAAGGGAAACAAGCAAGGCTAACTGAGTGGAAGTTATTCCTTACCAACCAGCAATAAGAGCAATTCAAATGCAAACAGCACGCCTAATTCGTTTCTTCTGACTCCTGAAAAAAAAAAAAAAAAAAAAAAAAGGACCAGATGCATTAGGGGCGAATGCCGTTGTAATGAATGAATTATATTTAAGATTCAAAAGGAAAAAATTTTCGCAGTTGCAGTAATGGATTGTCTTTCTATGATCTTTAATTAGAAAATAAAAAAAAAAAAGTTTGCCTTTAATCATATTACACGAACAAAAAGTAATTAAACTCAATTCCAACTAAAAAACAAAAACAAGAACACAAACATCCATCAACTTCAGAGCAGATAGATATTTGCTCTGGCAATTAAGAAGAACATACATACGGTCGGTAACACAAGCAGCTTAATAGTAACATCCTTTTTATAGAAATCAAAAGATTTGATTTTAAGTTGCATAGCATATAAGTATATGGTAAATTAAGTAATAGAAGAAGGTTATTTTTTATTATGTAACTTAATATTTTTTTTAAAAAAAGAAACATATGTCTGATTTATTTTCTATAAATAAGAATCAAGACATAGCATGAAAATGAAGGGGGAAAAAAAAAAAAGACTAATGAGTTGACATTCTTGCTTACCGGGTAACCAACAAGGCATCCAACATAGCAGTCCAATCATCACGCATACTAGATGAAATTTGTATAGTACCGGTACTACAAGCAATGAGTTATATTTAGAAGCCAGTGCTCTCAATCAAAAAAATGAGTTTTGCAGCTGCAATAATTGATTTCTTTTGAGCCTTGCTAAAATAATATTGCTTTTTTTTTTTTTTAATGACATGACTTAACTAGTTGAAACCCTCATGAAGAAAGAGGTGGAAAGAAAGAATAAGGGTTTGAATCTTGGCCATATTAGTGAGAAAGAGCCTCTTTACTATTGATTTGGCTAATTACCCCTACAAGCATTCCTTAATAATATGGCCTTCTAACTTATTGGCTATCCCCAAATTCTCCACTATTTAACAAATAATTGTCTTTTTCTTTTTCAAGTTGAAGCCAAAAACATTGCTTTAAGTATTTTAACTTCCGGTGCAAGAACTAAGAATCTAATTAATGTGCATTGTGTAAGTGCTAGATTATCGTTTGTACACTTGTGTAGTAATATTAACTCTTTTTGCCAATAAATATATTTAAAAATAACTAAAAATAAACTTAATTCAAATTATTTTTTTTTTTTTAAATTAAGGATTAACATACATATCCATTCCCTTAGCTTATCTTGAACGAAGCCAACAACACCAGCTGGAGCACTTCTTGGTTTGATGGCGAACGCCTTCACTCGTGTAGCTTCACTTACAAATTACAATCAATACACATAGCAATTGGACGACTTGTACACACAATCAAGGTACTTTCTAGAAAGAACTAAAAAATTAGAAATGCAAATGATGGTGCATACAAGGAAAAAATCTAGAAAAATCAAAAAGAGAAACGAAAATGATTAATATACTATTTGGTTTAATATATTTTATAATACTTATCAGTTTAATTATTAAAATTTATAACTTTTAGTTTTCTTGTTTTTAATTCAAATTTAAAAATAATAATTTTTAATAAATATATTATAAAAGATATTAAACTAAAAGATATATTAATTATTGTCTAAAGATAAAATAAGGACAATTGGGTCATGTTACACTCTAGTTTGTTCATGCACATGTGAATTTATAATCTACGTGACATCTTTATCTTGTACATAACTTTTTTTTTTTCAGTGTACCCTTATATAGTTAGCTGTAGTAGGATAGCGATGTACGTATTGTTTGTAGATCTTTGTTAAATGTCCTTGATGTTGACAGTGGTGCTATTGAGATGAGGCATCAACATCACATGTATGCTTATAGACCGGACTTGTTAGTTACGGATCTAGGTGATTAATTGTTATGCAAACAAATTAGGGCTGGGCATTTGAAAACCGAACGGACGGTTACTTGGAAATCAAACCAAAAAATGAATTTGGTATGGTTTCAATGGTTTTCAATTTTTACTGTTTTAGTTTTGATATTAACAAAATAAATTTTGGTTTGATTTTAGTTGAACTTTTTAAATATCAAAAACCAAAAGTAAGCCTCTTAAAAACCGAAATTAGGATAAATATGACAAAATATGAGAAAATATGAGATAAAATATAATCTATTATTACAAAAATAATTGATTAATATTTATTTAGTAAAAATCAAAACCAAACCAATTGGTTTGTGAAAACTTTGATTTGATTTCGATTCTCAAAATTGAAGAAAAAAATTTTGGTTATTTCAAAATCGGTTTCAATTTTAACCAAAACCGGTTTTTGCCCACCCCTAATACAAATAATCGTTCTTGGAGAAAAACATGAGGATTGACTAACCCGCCTACATGAGAACCACACGCGGTTCAAGTGAGGTTAAAATACTAATCGGTATTGAATATTGAAGTTCTTTTCAAAAGTTTAAGGACATTTTTGGTGCATATTTGAATGACAAAACCCAATGTTAAGCCCGAAAACTTATCTTATATTTTTAATTAAGCCTCTCAACTTTTACTAAAGTAAATAAATTTTTAAATTTGGTGATTTAGATAATTTAATCTTTTTTCTTATGATAGACTTAATGTCCATTTATGTCTCACTTACATATACAAGGTTAATACTTATCATGTAAGTAATAATATGTCAATATCTTGCTCACATGAGGCACAAATGGGTATTAAATCCACAATAAAGAAAAAAAATGGTTAAATTGTCTCGATTACCAAGTTTAGATAGTTATTTACTTCAATAAAAGTTATAGGGTTTAATCAAGAATATGAGATAAGTTTGAGGATTTAATGTAAAATTCTGCCCATCTAAACACTAAGGTATTAGATTAATATTTTAACCTTCAAGCCACAGGCGGAGCTAAGATGGCCTCCAAGCTTTTGAAAAAGAAGTTTGGACTCTAAATTTTATTTTATTATATTTTATCTTGAATAGTTATATTATCATTTAGTTATTTTTTATTATTGAAGATTACTCTTAACTGAAAATGAGAAAGTTTAAGGAAAATATAGATAATATGAAAGATGAAAAACATTCAATATGTAATTTCACAAAAAAATTCACTGTAACTTTTTGTTTTACTTTTTTAAGTGGTTTTCTTTTACTCACTATATTTGTTCATTTTGTCCTTCAGTTTATGACATTCGTATTACTTCATCAACTCCCATTAATTTATTGTTAAAGATTAATAAATTATGTTCATAATAATTTTTTTAAAATTTTTTTATTTATCGACTTTTCAATGTACATACAAACATATCATTTCTTAGTCAACATTTTATTCTCCCTAAAAAATATATTTGGCTCCGTTACTTCAAGTTCTTAGGTACTCTTAACATGATGATATATTGATATGCGTGTGATCTTAAACTTAAAATCAGCAGACTCTAGTATAAGCTGGAAATGATAAACAACCTGACGCGAAAATCACTGTGAAAGTAATTCGAAACACACTCTAAATCAAGTCAGAAGAACAAATCAGTAAAAAGAATGAAAGATGGTGAAACCCAAAACACTCAATTTTTTAGGGTATAAGAGTTGTGATGAATCTAATATTAAATTTGGTTTTGGCCAAATAATTAAATATATAAAAAGAGAACTTATCTTTCAAATTAAAGAGAAAAGAAAAGGCAATACTTACATTTATATATCCAGCGTCCCCAAGATCCAAGCTCATTTATACTTAAGAATGGTGGTGCAATTTGAGCAAGTGTTAACACGATTGAAGTGGAATTCGAAGGGTGTCCAGAGGCCCAATGTGAAGAATCGTGGAGTAGACCCAACGCAATATCTGTTATATATATATATATATGAAAGTTTGTTAAACAAGAGAAAATTGATAACATTATAAACCCTTTGTCTAAAAATAATAGATTTTTTTATTTAAAATTTGTTTTAAAACATTTGTCGTTTTAAGCTATATAAATACATTTTTTGGTTAAATGTCAATTTTAGTCTCTCAAATATGAAAAATGCTATTTCTTAATCCCTCTATCTGTTTTGTCCATTAGATTTGCAAAGCTGACATTTTTTCCCAAACTTTTGTTTTATGCACATTTAGGTCACTAAAGAAAATTATGAAAATGCCAGCTAGTCAAATTTAATGGATAAAATTAATGAAAGGATAAAAAAAAAGTGCACTTTCATATTTAAGCGAGGAAAAATGTGCAAAAAGTAATTCGAAGACCAAAATTGTTAAAAATAAAAGTTTTTGAACTAAATTTGACAATTAATTTTAATCTAATTTTAATCTTATCATTGTCTCTTGACTTTATTATAAAACAGCCTCTTTATTTTTATTTTTTTTTAAAATAATGTAAGTAAAATATAAATTGATCTAAAATCTTTAATCTAAAGATAAAATTAAAAACTGTCTATATTATTCAAAGATAGAAGGAGTATACAGCAATTAAGGAGAAGAAGAATTGTAGAACTCTTTACCAAACATTCCATTGGTTATACAGTGCTCTAGGAGGAAGAAGCCGGAGTCTCCCCGTAGAAAATCAAGTGGAATCTCCCTATAGAGGTAGCGTGCCATTTCCTTCCGGCCACAAGTAATTGCATGCCTAAGAGCAGAGTCTAACATTTGCGGAGATATCATATCCTCATTTCTATCTAAGAACCGCTTTACCTCGGGAATGGACTCACAGCAAACTAACTTCTGCAACTTCTCTTGTTGCCCTGCCAATGACGCTGCCAATAACGGTTGTAGGAAATTATCGTTTGTATTAAAAATTTGAAGTTATATAGTATCACCCTATTTCTTCAAAATGCATTTAAAAGAAAAAAAAAATTATTTGACCTTTTCTTAGCTCTCTTACAATCAAAGCCTAGACCCCCAATACAAGATCTCAATGCCACACACGACTTCAACAAACATAAAAAACGAAGCTCTGGAATGCTACCCGATGTACCCAATGTTTTAACAAAAGGACCAGTGGCCACACCGTATTGGCTATTGGTTCGGGCTCAACTAGTAGATCAATCAAACCAAATGGTCAAAATAGTTGACTAAATAAAATAATATTAAATTGACTTATCAATTATAAAATTATCTTGCCTTAACTTATTTTATTTTAAAATTGATTGAGATTTTTTTTTTATGAGAGATTGAGATCATTTTTGTAATAATTAATATATTAAAATGGCAATTAGTTTTAAATTAATTTTATTTTCAAGATTTAGTACATTGCCAAAATAGATTAATTTCAAATGCTTAAATTTATCAAAATGCCTAATATATTTTTAATTTATTATTCATATAAAAGACTAAAACATTAATTTTGTATTAATTATAAAATTATTTTTTTGTTTTATTGGTTTTATTTTCAAAATTAAATTAGATTAGTTTTAATTTCAAATTGATTTCATTCATTTCATTTACTAAAGTATTCATTTATTTTTAAAAATTTTATTCCCAAAATTGATTTGATTTTATTTCAAATTAATTTCATCCTCTAACATGAAACAATATTTTGTTTCCAATTGATTTTATTTTCAAAACTGATTCAAGTTATATTTAAATTGATTTTAAATTTTCATCCACACTAATTTGACTTTAAAATTTAATTTGATTTATAATTTAATTATTATATTATCTAAAAAATAGTAAATTTAAAAACTAAATAATATTTCCAAAAAGAAAAAATACATATAAAAACTAAGAAAAGCTGAGCCGATTTGCCAATTTTGACCAATTATTGACTTCAACCGTTTTGGTACCTTAAGATAAAGGATAGTGATCGGTACACCCTATATTTCAACACTCGGTTCAACACCTTCCAGTTTAGTCATTAAAAAATTACTATTTTTTAGTCTGAAATTAAAAACAGACAAGTATAATAATACAATTATGCACACATGATACAAGAACTGACTGAATTGATTGTATTTATATAATATTTTTAATAATTAAACCGAAAGATATTAAACCAAGTGTTAAACCAAATATTGAACCAAAAAATGTACCAAATATTTCCCTAAGATAAACCATTAGTAAGAGTGATTATTGGTTACAAATTTTCGGTCAAGTTGAGCAAACCGTTCAATCTAGTCTAGACTTGGTTTGACAACGCTAACTACAGTACTTTTTGCAAATATCTATAGAACTTTTGTAACTTTTGCGTTTGGTAAATTATTCATTCTTATTTTTTTTGGAAAGGAATACAAAAATCATCTTATTTAAAATTAATAGAATTCCTAAATAACTTAATAAAATTCTCAAATCTTTTCCGTACATTATTTATTAAATTAGTAATTAATTAAAATTATTTATATGATAATAATATTAAAATAAATATTAATTTTTATATTTTTCAAAATTAATTATAAAAAATATATCTATTATATTTATATATTTTTTTTAAATATAAATTAAACAACTCCTTTTAAAAGTAAAGTGGTTTTATTTATTTATTTTTAAAATATATTTACTACTCTTATATTTTTCAATATTTTCAATCTGTACTATTAAAAAAATCCTTCATTTTAAAAGTGAGTGATTTTGAGTCATCAATAAACAAGTGGTGGCCACTCGAGCTAGGGACCAAAGTTAAAAAAAAATAAATTATATTTGAGGAAGACTTGAAAAATGGAACAGGACCGGTCTTCTCTTCCCAATGAACAATAAATACTGAGTGGTCCTAGAACTTCTAAGAACGCTTGTCAATTGCGGGACCAATTATAATTATTTATGTAATAATATTATTAAAATAAAATATTAATTAGCACCTCACCATTCGGATCAATTAACCGTCTCTCTACAAGAAAATTTATATTTAAAAATTAGATTATTGGTCATTAAATTTTTATTTTTTGTCACAAATTATTATTAGTGATAAAATTTAAATTGTTAATAAAACCTTTGTCATTAATGCTCTTAGTAACAAATTAAGTACTTATCACAGAAAATAATCTTATAATGATAGAAAAAATTGACATTGTTAACAAGTTATTTATAACAATTTTATTTATCACAAAAAAATATTCGTCACAAATGCAATTGTGATGAAAAATTTAATCATTAATTATTAAAATTGATATTAAATAAAAAAGATATTTATATAATTACAACAC